CTACATCGTGGTTTAGCGGGAGGCACGAACTGAGGTATTGTTTCGTTATTTGCACTGTTTTTTTTTTTTTTTGAATGAACATCATTTTGTGGCTTTCTGTATTATGAAATGGCTGTGATACGGTCTTAATCCTTGGGTTGGTTGCTTTTTTATTGATAGTTTATTGTCTTTGTTTTGTTTTAATGGCCATGTAGTTTCTGAGTGTCTAATGCATTACAGCCTCTTCAGTAGGACTTGTATTATGGTTATTAAAGGGTTAAAAGCCAAACTTGAAATAATCTTTTTCCTGTTCTCCTGCGATAAGCAAAATAAAAAGTAAAACTATTAAAGACGAATAAGAGGGTAGGGTTATCGTTACACATACAAATAAGGATTCCTGGCTTAGTGTGAACGAGTTGTGTGTTAGCGTACAATGGCTGCTGGAATCTCCTCCATTATGACCAGTTGGATGAACAGATAAACTAGGATAGGAACTGATGTTTGGGGCCCGTCTGAACCTGGAGTTTTACTTTGTTGTTGCTAACAAACAGGATGCTGAATAGCAGTGTGTCCAAGCTTATTGTATGTTTACGAAACTGAATAGCTTGAGTGTAATACAAGAGCTCAATTTGTGATTGGTTCAGTGCAGTATTTCTCAACCTTGGCAACTTGAAGATGTGTGGGCTTCAACTCCCAGGATTCCCCAGCCAGCATGGCTGGCTGGGGAATCCTGGGAGTTGAAGTCCACACATCTTCAAGTTGCCAAGGTTGAGAAACACTGGTTTAGTGGTTCAGAAGAAGAAAGTTAAAGTCACGCGCCTTCATGTTATAAGCCAGGTATCTTGACTTGCTGTTGCATGCAAACAATTGGGGAGATTGTTTAGTAAGCCAGGATTATAAGGGATCCAGCAATGCATGTGAGGACAGGGAGCTAGGAACTTCGGCAGATTGTTTTATGCAAGATGGAATGTAATATTTCCCTGTTATGACTAGTGGGGCTGTGCCTTTGAATTGACATTTCAATGCATTCTGTGCATCAGAATGTTGACGAAGCATCTCTTTTTCAGTGCTTAAAGCAGCTGTGTCATTCACAGAGCTTGTACCACTGCCCCAGAAGCGGCTCCTGGTTGTCCCCACATGCATGTACCAGCACAGCTGCTTTGCTTTTTTTTCCTCAGCCAAGTGGAGTGGCTGTGTACACACATGCACTTGGAGATAGCCGGGAGCAACTTCTGAAGCAGCAAAGAGGCAGTTGCTTTAATGATGCCCAAAGAGGTGCTTTGGGAAGCCTGCTCATTTGCAGACATCTTTTTTTCAAAGGTTTTACACAGCCCCAATAGCTTGTAGATAATCCCAAGTCTGTCCTGTCCAGGAATGCCCTTCACTTTCTCTTACAGCCATATACAGAAAGAGAAACCCTGTTAACCTTCTACGTACAGAACTAGGACTGTTAGATGCCTGCTTAGTGAAAGTTGGGGTAATAGAACATCAAGTTTGAATGACTCATAGCTCAAAAAGTTTGAGTAAAGATTGTTTTGTTCTGTAGTAGTAAGAACTAGATCGCTTGGTGTGCAGTTTTAGCATGCATTTTGCTGAACAGAAATGTTTTTCTGGAAGTTGACTAGTCTAAGCTTCTGCATCGTTTTCGAATGAGTTGAATTATTGTTGCATCTTACCTACATCTCCTACAACTTTTAATTGTCACTTCGGTGCTAAGGAGAAGCCAGGCTCAGATATAGGACTTGGGCCAATCAATGGCATTTCTAGGGAGGACTTCAAAAACCCAGAAAACCTACACGTTATAATCTGGGCTCACTGTTCATGCTAAACTGTTTGCATAACCATGGTTTGTTGAATAAATCACAGCTGGGTTCAAAAGCTGCTACGGATCCAAAAGCAAACAAGACTCATTAGGGCTAGGGTAATGTATGAATCCAGCCACTTATAGTCTAAATTTATCTAACTGGAGTAATGGCCATAGGGGTTTTAGGCTGGCAGGGCTTTAGCATAAGGGCAACATGATGCCAGTTCAGTATGAACTTTAGCATGGGCCATAATCTTCTGAGTTTATTAAAGAGGCTGTGTTCACCCATTACATGAAACAACATTGTGGTCACCCTGATTTTGCTTTAGTGTGTTGTGTGAACAGATATTGTGGTTTATGAGCTAAATGTAATGGCTTAGTCTGATGTACAGTCCAGTGATTGTTCAACAAACGGTTATTAAATGCATATGCAGCTATTGTGTAGTCCTGAGCTGCAAAAGCTGCTTTGTATTTTAACCTTTGTAACCTTTGTAATTGTTTTTATTTTATTTTCTGTTCACCGCCCAGAGTCACTTGTTGAGATGGGTGGCCATATAAATCGGATAAATAAATAAATGGAGAGCTTTAGGAAGTCGTAATTTTCACTGGGTCCTGTAATGCTGAAACAATTTAAAATGTTATAAGGCAAAGTTTGAGGTACTTTGATAAGACAGATTTGCCTTCCTTAATTTACTGTCCTTTTGAGCTGGTGTTCAGTTCTCATGCTTACGAAAATTGAAATGGAAGACCTCTAGAAGGTACCAGGTTGGAGAATAGCAATCATGTGTAGTTAAACTCTGAATTACTTAGTGGTGAGAAGAAAATTACAGAGAGTTTACATGAAATGCTGAATGAATAACATTATGTTTGATTTTATACTTTGGAAGACGCATCATGATGTGAGTGTGTATGCTGTACACTCGTACCTCTGTGTGTGTGTATGTGTGTGTGTGTAAAACCACAGTCCAATGAAAACACACAGCAGCCAAAAAGAAACTGTAGTACTCTTTGAACAAGGATTAGATTGTCTTTTTATTACGTTAATTTCAAGGCAAAATAAACAAAAATAAGAACTGACGTATTGGGCAGTCATTAACTGTAGTTGAATGGAAGAATTTTTTAGAAGGAAAACAAGGTGGGACATAAGGGTGAACTTGGCTGGATAAAGATACAATGGCTGAATGTTAGATATGATTTATTATATAAAATATTCAAATCTTATTAAACCGTCATATGAACTTCTTTTAAAACCTCTAAATTCAATTTCTCTGTAAGCCAAAGCTTTCCTCCAGGGGAATAAAAGGCTTATTAAACTGTTGGAAAATCAAGAGCTGATTTTCCTAGATGAATTCTTATTCATTCTCCCAATGTGGCCCGGGTTCACACTTTGCATTAAGCTATGGTTTACTGAATAAATCAGAGTTGGCTGGGTTGACACAAAACTAAGGCAAAATCTCGGGGTTAAAAACAGCGGTGACTGGATTCGCACATCCCATTCAATGCAGATGGCACTCTCTCCATTATAGGTTTGTGTGAATCCAGCAATGGTTGTATTGCCAGGGTGACCAAGAAACAGACCCAGCTGAGTCAGTGTAACATGTAGCTGGCTTGACTGGTGCTAGCTCCCTTGGGTCTGCTTTAGCATAATGCCAAACCATTATTGAGTATTTTGTGGACAACCCCTAGACTTTGTGCATTTCCCATCTTCAGTACACCTGTAAGGAGGATATTAAAAACTTGATTTTTCAGTTTACTCTGGCTACTTACTCCTATCTGGACTCAGCAGTTTATAGATAATGCAATTAGTAGAAGCTACGCAGGTACACATTCCTTTTTTTCCATATATGCTCTCATATTAGAGAGTTTGTTGTGACTTTATTGGTTTGGGCCTTAAATGGAGACTCACATAGTTTTAGATGTTATATACGTCTAGTACAATCAGTGTTTTAGGGTAGGGTTGGCCCACGTTTTTATTTTTATTTGAATTTTCTGCTTACTAGAACCCTTGTGTCCCCCATCAATAGTTGTGGCAAAACAGTCTCAAGTGGAGGAACGTAACTAAGAGCAGTGGACGCCTGAACCACATGTTACATTGGAGACAAAAGTCAACTTCTGTTCCCCCTTCCAGATTTCTGTTTCTGCGACTTGATTGATTGATTTAGGCTTTAGTGCTGCTCAGTTCCTGTAAACTCTAAGGAACTTACAGAATGACACAGCAAAGTTTAAAATAAAATTTTAAAAATCCAACACATAAAGACCTCATAAACCTTGACAATACCAATGTGGGAGTGGGCTAAACTTTCACGTCCCCAGATTCTTCCCTAAGTAGCCAAGTATTTATGACTCTTCAGAAACTCAGTGATATGGAGGAGGACTGGATATCCAGGGCCAGCTATTCAAGACTAGCCAGGTTGCACTTAGCCTGATGGTTACAGTGGAGAGAAAGCAATGTGATATTGAGGACAGAACAGGATTCCTGGAAGTTTTTTGAGGGAGCAGGTTTGGTTTGAGGTACATTATTCTTAAACAAGGGGCTGTACATTTTTTATTTCTTTTTTCTCTAAAACAGGAGGGAATCTCTGGCTTTTGAAATTTGGTGGTGTTATTTCTCTACCACTAAATGAAAATAGGCTTTTGGGTCACAGTGTGTCCACTCCTGTGCTTATCCATTCTTAACCAAAGACTCAGTCCAGGTTTGTCTTTTATGCTTAAACATGGCTTGTTGATTAAGACATAATACAAATAGTCCTTGCTTAATGACTACCCTGTTCAAAGTTATGATGGCGCTGAAAAAGTAATTTTATGACTGCTCCTCGCACTTATGATGGTTGCAGTGTCTCTGTGGTCATGTAATTGAGATTTGGGTGCTTCGCAACTGTTGCAGTGTCCTGCGCTTAATGACTACATCGCTTAGCAGCGGAGTTGCTGGTTCCCATTATGGTTGTTAAGTGAGGACTACCTGGTAGCTGGATTTGCATAAGATACTAAACTGAAATCAAACAAACCATATTATGGATTAATATGTAGTTTAGTTTTGGTTTGTGAAAGCCCTAAATATATATCTTAAAGTCTGAGTTGTTTAAAGACAAGAATATTGGCAGAGTAAATAGTGGCAAGTGTCTTGATAAAGCTGTCTTTATTGGTGGAACAACTCCATTGCTAAGTGTAATCTTGAAGACTCTTTAGCTCCAAATTCCATGGATTGTTTGATGTCAAGATGGACCAAGCACCTTTGCAAATGGCATTAACCTATAATGGTAATATTGGGCCATAGTTGTATGTTGAATAAATCCAACCTTTGTGTTTATAAGTGATAGCTTATATATATATGTGTGTGTGAACCATCTATTATCTTCCTGTGTTAATAAGCTATCTAATATGCAGAGTATGAGACTACAGTCTGATAAAAAAATTCTGGAGGACATTAGGTTGGGGGAGTCTTATGTTAGCCAAGGAAATGTTTTGCTGAAATTAGATTTGGAAGGAAAGTAGATTTACGTTTGCATTTCTAAAAACATTAGCTGAACTATATTAAATCATATTCTTTTGTCTCTCCAGTTTGTGGGCCAAACATTGACATACGCAACAGTGTGGAGGAACTGAAGCAGCTGGAGGGCTGTACAGTGGTTGAAGGATATCTTCAAATTTTGTTGATCCCTCAAGGAGAGGACTTCAGCAACTTCCGCTTCCCAAAACTAACAATGATCACAGACTATTTGCTGCTTTTCCGTGTGGCTGGCCTGGAGACCCTCAGTGACCTCTTTCCGAACCTCACCGTGATTCGGGGCAAGAGCCTTTTCTACAACTATGCGTTGGTCATTTTTGAGATGACCAACCTCAAGGAAATTGGGCTGCACAACTTGAGGAACATCACTAGGGGAGCCATCCGGATCGAGAAGAATTCTGACCTCTGTTACCTCTCCACAGTGGACTGGTCTCTGATCTTGGATGCTGTTTCCAACAACTACATTGTGGGAAATAAACCACCAAAAGAGTGTGGGGATTTGTGTCCAGGAACAGCAGAGGAAAAGCCCCTGTGTGAGAAGACTTCCATTAATAATGAATATAGCTACCGCTGCTGGACTTCCAACCACTGCCAGAAAAGTAAGAGTTGATTGATAGTTCAGTTTCAACTAATAATGCTGTGACCTGTGTAATAACACATTCCCACAAAAGTACATATGTATATATTTTGTCTTTTCCAACTTAGTTCCAGTATATTAGATGTATTGGAACTGCAATTCCCATATGCCAGTGGGAATTGTCTTGTTATTTGGTAATTCTGTTCCCGGCATCTGGTGGGTGCTGTGTTGGGCAGGGCTTCTTGGGTAATTTTTATCCTGAGTGTACTGTACAAGTGTTGATTTAGAATGTGTGTATAGAAAAACACTTTTAAACCATTATGCATTGGGCTAAAGTAGCCTTGAGTAAGTCTGCATTGTCTTTTTGAAGTAGAAATTCTAGGAAAGAACATATAAGACAGACAAGCTTTGTTCCTTTATTATATTTACATCCTATTTTTGTTCTCTGAGGGAACTCAAGGTGATCTGTAGAAGCCATCTCCTATCTTGACCTGCTTAACTTCAGCACATGGTTGTTCATGTCAAGTCCCCTTGGGGTGTCCCATTTTGACCTGCAAATGAACAATAGTGTGTTACAATGATGCGTTGAAAGAATGGCTTGCTATGACTGATAAGGATGGATTCATGGTAGTGGGAGAGACATACACAGGAATACAGTTGCTTTCCCCCCTCCACTCTGGACAGTTGCCCAAACCGGTACGGTCCAGAAAAAGCATAATTTCTCTGGAACAAATGGATAAACTAGCTTTAGCCTTAAGTAGCTTAGCATAGGTAATGAAGTCTACGTACAATGGAATGTGGAGGTAATTGTATCTTGCCTGTCACTGATGGATAGATTTTGTTTTCCGGAATGTTTTCAAAGTTTTCCCTGTAATTGGCTTTGAATGGTTGTGTGTGGTGTGTGTGTGTGTATGAGAGAGAGAGAGAGAGAGAGAGTCAGTCAGTCAATCAGTCAGTCTTGTGTATGCCATGAATTTGGTCTTGTGTAGCCATGAATTTACCTCCTCCTCTCACATTTGATTTCTCTTGAAAAGCATAGCTGAGATCCAGCCACATGAACCTGAGATCCAGCCGCATGAGCCAATGCAAAGGATGTAGGCGTTAAGAACTGACATTCATAGTCTTTCTATATACAGGAATCCGATTCAGGTTATCTTCTCACTTGCAGTCAAAGCAGTTATGGATGGAAATGTTTCTTGAACAAATATTATGGATGTGTGTGTGTGTGTGTGTTTAATGTGATTGTTACAGCCAGATACAAATGGCAGTCTTGTTCTTACTGGTGAGTTTTTAATTAGAGGAAAACAAAGAGAAGCCGAACAGATAATTGGCTGGGCTTTCAGCAAGTCTTTTGGGGAGAGCATGAGATATGTCAACCTAGCCTGTATTTGGATAATGAATATCATTCATTCTGTTCATTCAGGGGGCATTGAAAACAGTGGTTTGGTGTCTGTAATAGCAGGGGGCTGCAAATTGGCATTTTGTGAGAGCCCCTCCCATTTAGGGCTGTTAATTTAACTTGTGTGGGTGAAAAATATAAAGTTGGAGGCAATCTTTTATGTAAGGCAAGTTAGCAATAATAAAGAGACATATTTTTGGGTCTCCTGGGGATCTGATTTGGAGAACATGTTCAATCTAGGTGTGAGACAAGAATTGATACTGTTCTCTTGCTATGGATTTGAGGAAGTTGACTTGCGTTGACAGAATGTATTTTAAGCATGGAAAGAATTCCTCATTGGCAGCCTTTTCATATGCTCTCTAAGGTAAATGGAATTTGTTACCTTATTTTTATTGATGGAAATGGAAGTAGTTAGCCAAAGGATCTTGGTTGAGGTGTGCGGACCAGTTTCTGTTTTACACTTACCCATTTTCCTGCAAAGATTATTGTCTAAACACTGGCATTTCCTTGTCTGTTTTTTTCAAGTCACCAAATAGTTTTTATTAATCCATTTTCAGACAGACATAAAATAGAAATGAACAATTCACCATACACAAAAACAAAAGAAAAAATATACAACAAATAAATGCATTTAAAAAACAAACACCACTGTCCCCAACAAATAAATGCATTTAAAAAACAAACACCACTGTCCCCATTGTAATTACAACCTGTTGTTTAATATGAAAAGTTTCTCTTGGGAGAGTTGTTGCCAAATCACAGTGCATTTTGCTGACTGACTTCTTGAAGGTGATGAAATATGAGAAGCTAAGACTCTTACCTAGTTGGAACATAGCTGGATATAGATTATTTGATTCCATACTTACCATAAATTAAAGTATGAATATGAAGCTTCAGATATTATTGCATGTGAAATCTCCAGACTGTTGTCCCAAGCCAACTAAGCTGAAGGAAAAAGTCGTATCTAGCAAACAAGGCAAGAAATCAAGAAGGTGCACGGAATCAGCAATTAGTTTGATTAAGATGCCAAAGTATTTCCCAAATGTCAGCATCCATTGTGTGTGTCTGGAAACATGTAAAGCCCGAAAAAGGTTCTTCTCATTACCAAACCTATCCTAAAGAGACATGGAGCTTACAACCATGGGTTAGATTTCAGGTCCTCTTCTCTGGACCGAAGAATAGGAAATGGTCCCGCAGTTTCCGTAGCCGGTCTCCTTCATTCTTGAAGATGCTGCAAAGTATCTTTCAGAATCGAGAGCCATGTTATGAAAAGGTCTCATAGGAACGAGCCTGAACTGCAAGAAGGAAAACTTGATTTTTGCCAGCTTCAAGCTTGGGGAGGAACTGCTGCCCTTTTGGAAGTAAAAACAAGGGAATTATAAATGTTCAATTGTTTAAAAGGAAGCGTCCTGTTTACTCTGCTTGAGAGGAACAAGAAACGGAGCAGGAGTGCAACAGAAGGGGCCGGGTGGGGAGGAGACAACAGACAACAAAGTCTCAGTGTTTGGGACAATCCTGAACTTAGGATCCTTATGCTCAATAACACCTAACTCCAGTAAAACTAACACAATATTTTTGTATCATCTCCAACTTGGTATCGCTGCAAGGAAGTGAATAACAACAACAACAACGATAACAATACTTTATTAAACTTGTATGCCGCCTGAGTCTCAGTGACTCTGGGTGGCTCACAACAATCAAAGGAATTACAATCAAATCAATAAAACATAAAAAATAAAGATAAAAGCTGGCAAGGTGAGGAAGCAAGGGCTTTCACTCTCCCTGACCAAAAGTCTTCATGGCTCTTCTAAACAACAGTAGAATGGGGGCCGCTCGGATCTTGGGGGGACCTCATTCCAGAGGGCAGGCGCTGCTACGGAGAAGTTGTGCTTCCGGGATCCTGATAGAAGGCATTGTTGAATCGAAGGAACCCAGAAGGCACCAGTCCCTGCAGGCTCAAATCAGCCGGGCAGATGTTATGGGAGAAAGGCAGTCCTTTCAGTAACCAGGCCCCATGCCATATGGTGCCTTAGTGGCAGAGCCAATGTACTGTGCAAAAATTGTGTGTTCCCTGCTGCAACAGCAGAGTTTATATAGGAGGGAGGCTAAGGGACCTCCATGAACGAAATCTGTCTACCCCTGAGTGCTAGACTCAGTAGATCCGTGTCAGTCTCTAGGGTTTGGGGTTAAGCCAATGCATGATTCTATATTCCGCCATCTGAGTCAGTAATAAATGTTATGCTGTTGACATTCATACTGTTTCTGAGACAGAACCAGAGAGAGATCTCAGAAATCTCATGTTATGGTAGGAAGGAGGAGTATTTGAGTATTTAAGAGGCAGGGCTAAGTTTAGTAAAACTGCCTGATTTACAGAGTGGGATTCTGCACTTGATTTGCTTTCCTTCCAACGTGTGACGCCTAGCATAAATTTCCAAAATAGTTGATTAGCCAGGGATCCCCCCTATTTACCTGGGTAATAATGGCCCCTCTTCTTTTGAGTCCTTGTTTAAATCAAAATGAACCATGATTCCTATAAAGTGTTTAGCTTATGGTGCTGTTTTGAAGACATATTTTGGAACTGTGGTCTTTCTCATTGGTTGATGCCAAGTCTAAGAAAAACAACAGCGTCCGCCTGCCCTTTCTTGTTATTCTTCACTGTTCCCTTTGCTTTCTTCCACTGTCAAAACTGCGGTGTGCCCAAGGAAACAAGGAGACATCATATGGAAGGCACAGAATTATTGTTCTGAGCGAGGAGAAGTTACTTATGATGCATGTTCTGCCCAGGCTTCCCAGAGATACTGCTTGGCCAACATCACGTCGGGTTGATGCGGCAGTACTTTTCTTACGTCTGTATCGATCTGGAGCATTTTTCAACTAAGAAGGCTCTCAGAGAGGCCCAAGTATAGTCAATAGCAGAAGGTCTCTACCCGCCTTCAGTTTTATATTGAAGAGACGTGATACAGAAGGGAAGTAGAAAGGGGAGGGAAGAAGGAAGAAGAAGGGCGAGCTCCAACGCCTGTCCTTCAAGTTTGGAGGTTCCTAAATAACTAAGTTCTGAAGTAGAGACCCGTGAGATACAACTCAGAGCAGGTAGATGGAGCAGATTTTTCAGCAGGGATTATGAAATGTCCTGGTCTCCTCTCTCAATGCTCTGGTTCTCTCTTGCTTTGAAGCCCGTTAAGGTTGCAACCTTTCTTATTTCTACTTCTGGCTGGTTGGCTTGGGGAAGGACAGAGGGTTGGTAGTTCCACCTCCCCAGGAAACCTGTATTCGAATCCCTTTGTTCTTGTCAAGTCCTTCCACTAAAGGATATCAAGTGGGCGGGCAAATGCTGTGCTGGGAACACTTAGTTCTTTTTGAGCAAGCTGGTTGTTTAATTTTGTCCCTGAGCAGAAGCTGGTTATCGCAAACAAAGGAGGAGAAAAAAAATCTCTGTTTCCTTCGGGATACCTCTCTTCCAGAAACAACGTGAGGAGTGGGCCGGGCGAGCTGCTTCCAGCCACTGTGTGGTGATTGATGGTGTTTTTGTAATAATAACTCAACTCCATGGAAAAGTGCAAAGAAGGGCTTTTGTTCTCGTTTTTTTTTTTTTAAATGGTGGGTGGGGAGGAAACTCCAGTTGC